GGAGTCACCTTTAGTATCGGTTCGTGCCATGAACCGGTACTAATGCCTCCAACCCATTAGTACCGGTTCGTGGCATGAACCGGTACTAAAGGTCTAACCATTAGTACCGGTTGGTGCCACCAACCGGTACTAATGGGCATCGCACCCTTTAGTCCCGGTTCATGGCACGAACCGGGACTAAAAGGTCCAGACGAACCGGAACAAATGGCCCACGTGGCCCGGCCGGCCTCCTGGTCTCACGAACCGGGACTAATGCCCTCATTAGTACCGGTTCTGGATTGAACCGGGACTAATGGGCTAACTCGGCCTGGACCAAAGCCCCCTTTTCTACTAGTGACCAGAGCCCTGACCCGTCTCCATGTCCCGTGCATACCGCATTCCTCGCCGCTATTACCGCGTCGAACCTTCGCTATCCCGGTCGAGTCTCAAGGGTGGCGAAACCGTCTTCTGTACCAACCGACTTGCGTCGATCCGTCAAACTATCTAGTCCGACCCAGGCTTCCAAATCATCTTCCGCAAATTTCTATCCATCACACAATAATTCCATCTTAGCTGGCATGACTGCCCGCAACGCCTTCAAGCATCCCTGTTGTGCCAACACATTTTTTCACCCTTGTCTGTCATAACCCAAGGTTTGAAGTCACGTTGAACTTCTCTACCTTAAACCTGGTGCCCATTGACACCATGATTCTTCATATGACTAACCCTGTGAAAATATTATCTGAGCTGTCCACACAATGCCCCAAGTACATGAACCCAATCTTCACGTACTAATAGCAAAACCAACCGAAAAATCACTTTTGGCCTTCACGTGGTGTGGCTCCCGTGACTCAACTCCACGATGCTAGCTTTTGCCTTGCCCAAGCCCCTTGCTAGTTCCCGATGGATGCATCAACGGATATTTCCTTTGCTCGATTTGATCTGCCGACGACTTCCTTCCGGGACTCGGTCCCGTTTTGGTCTCTAAACAAATCTCGTAGTAGCTTCTTTATCGCGCGAGTGTCCTGTATCCTGCGTCCGAGCCGAAAAGAGTGCGGCCTCTGCCTCACGCGTCTCAAGCTTCCCCGCACCTTTGTCCACGTCTGTTTGCAGGCCTACCAGGGCCTTCGGGAGCAGTCACCAGCGCACTGCACGCGCCCGAGCCTGGCTCGGCCCTTAGACCTGCCTGCACGTGTCCTCCTTCGTGTGCGGTCGCCACACAACGCGATCTCGCCGAGGTCGCCGACTCGACGCTTGCTTTGAGACACCGCTTTCGATCAATCAGCCAACTGCTTGCAATCGCTCCTCCATCCTTTATACTAACTCGCGCAACCTTATCGCAACCTTGCTCATCATATCACTTGTTAGAATAAATCTGAGGCATACCGTCGATCATTCGAGGATCAAACAATCACGAACACGACACCGAGATTTGTTAACGTGGTTCATCGTATGGCTACATCCCCGGGGCCTGACTATGTGAGCTTCTCCCCATGACACCCCTACAATACCGCACCAGGTCGCCCTGGATGCCGGCACATGCCGCCGGCTTCCCATGCGTTCCTGTGCTATTATGTTGGCATAGGTTACATCGTGTGTCTACCCCCGCTATATATGAGAGGCCTAGGGTACAATGTCCTACTAAAACACGACTCGATATCCCATGTAAACACAACACAACTACAAAACCAACTGTAACCTATCTTGTATATTATATTTGACACAACTCTAACAGATCACATGACTCAACCAATTCACTTGGCTGCCTACTCACATGATCCTGCATGTACATGAGAAACCAACCATTTTTCGGATCACATGGTCGGCACTCTATACCGATATTGCCAATCGGATAACTCGGTCCGCACACCATACTGATATTGCTAATCGGATCACATGCCGTGATGCTTCCAGAGGGTGTCGGGGTCACCATGAGAGTGCCAGCGATGAAGAGGAAGGAGGAAATTGCGGCGGCAGTGAGGGAAGTGATGGTTGGCCAAGCAAAGGCGCCGATATAAGAGCTAAGGTGGTGGCACTGCAGAAGGCGGCCTAGGAAGCTCTTCTTGAAGGGGGCGCTGCCGCGACCGCTCTGGATGAGCTGGTGCGCAAGTGGACATCCGGCGAGTATTGCTAGGTGTCAGCAAACCTACCAACGCATCTCGCTCCTTCTGTCTATGTGCATCGTGATGATGATCACTAGTAGAAAAGGGGGCAATGGTCTAGGCCGGGTCAGCCCATTAGTCCCAGTTCAATTCAGAACCGGGATCAATGGGGCATTGACCAGGTTCGTGAGCCCGGGAGGCCGGCCGGGCCACGTGGGCCATTGGTCCCGGTTCGTCTGGACCTTTTGGTCCCGGTTGGTGGGACGAACTGGGACCAATGTGCCTTGCTCCTGGCCCACCATCATTGGTCCCGGTTGGTGGTCTGAACCGGGA